CTTCTGGTATTGCTCCCAAGTCAAGCAAGTATTATTTTATTCAAAAATCGTGCCAAGTAAGTCAAGTTGACTGTCAAAACTTGCTTGACTTGCTTTTTGCGAACTCTGATAGAAAGGACAACAAAGCTTTACCTAGCCCTCTATAGCTCTAGAAGCTATTTAACTGGCACCAGATTCCAACAATAGCTTCATACTTCTATTCCAGCGTCCACGATCGAAGAGGTCGGGGTCATGATCTTGCCGCGCTTTCTTTGCTGCATATTGCAGCGCTGTTTTTCCAGACGCGTCCTTTGCATTTATCTCAATGCCGACAACATGGAGAAGATAATGCAAAGATTCTTTAGTGATAGACCCGCTTATTGCAGAACGGTGCAATATTGTCTTGCTTTGTAAGTCTTTCTGTGCCAAATCGACACCGTGTTCCTTTAGGATCTCGAAAATTTGAACGCTGCATCTCCCAGCCAAAGTGCATAGGTGTCCTAGGTTTTGACCATCTTTGTCAACAAACAAAGAGCTTCCTTTGACTGAAAGCAATTGTTGAGAGATGTTGACATCTAGTGCAAACAGGCATGGTCGTTTGAAGTAGATCGCCAACGGTGAGTTGCCAGATACGTCCAACTCTGAACCACCTGCCCCCTTGTTGAGGAGCAACTGGATTGTCTCATGCTCAAATACACGATGCCCAGAAACTAGGTGATGGAGCGGGTTTCTACCCTGATTATCCTTCAACGCCGCCAGGCTTGGTCTTGTTGCCACAGTTGTTTCTAGAAGAATACTGATCGTTTTATGGTTTTTACTTCGTGCAGCGTAGTGAAGAGCATTGAGCCCTTCATCATCTGTTAAGGCAGGCTCAGCTCCCAGAGAAATCAGAAAAGCAACTGCATCGTGGCTGCCAGCTTGACTAGCAAGGTGCAGTGCGCTTTGCTGTTTCAAGTTTCTTTCGAACGGATTCGCTCCTCTAGATACTAGTCTCTGAATTGCCGACACACTTCCAAGTTCTCTATAATCAACGTAGTGCAAAGGGTAGTTATGTTGACAGTCTCTGATTGTCAGACTGGTCCTAGGATCTCCAAGCAGAGCATCAAGCACACCTTCGCGGTGCATTGCTATTTTTGCATGAAATGAAGCAATCTCGTCTTCTTCAAATCCCAAGTCCCATATGCTTTCTATCCTCAAGTTCTGATTGTTCCAATCGTCGTCATAGTATGGTCCGTACAGTTTTTCACGCAACGTGAGATGTATCGGGGACTCGTTGTATGTGGACAAAGCGTTCGGATCAGCGCCACGCTCCAGAAGGAACTTAGTCATGGTTAAGTCGCCAGTCAAGGCCGCAAAGTGTAAAGGCATCAAGCCAGATGAAATGCCCGAAATATCGGGCCCCGAAACCGAAACTGATGATCGGGGAAAGGTGTCGGTCTTCACAGTGTTCCGAGACCACGACTTTCGATCGACACGGGCATCAATGGACAGACCATTGTCAAGAAGCAATCCTATTATAGATTTGTGGCTGCGCTTGACGCAGTAAAGCAGTGGAGTCATGTTGTTGATATCGGTCGTGTTTTCTGGAGCGCCTCGTGAGAGCAGAAGGTCGATAAGACTAGGGTCACAATCCATGCTGTTGGTAGCATAATGCAAAATACATTTTCCCTGGCTATCGTGTCGCGAGGCATCAGCGCCGTTGTTGAGTAGAAGCTCGACAATAGCTGTATGGTTCCCAGCTACAGCTGCCTGCAGTGCGTTGCCATACTCTCCGCCTTGCGCGTTGACTTCGGCGCCCTTGTCGAGCAGCAACTTCACCATTCCTTGATGTCCAAGTTTTGCTGCAAGACAAAGGGGAGTCTGGCCCTCGTTATCTCTTCTTTCTAATATAAGTCCTGTCTCTCCTACTTGATTTAGGAGCAGGGCCTCTGATATAATAGCTAATCCGAAACGAGCTGTAAGATGCAATCCTGTGCTGTCCTTACGATATATTTGGCTATACCCCTGACCTGTGTATTGTGATCGTAAGAGTACCTGCATAGCGCAAGAAACCAATTCTTTGCAGGAAAGAAATGAGCAGGCTAGCTCACATATATTATCTTCCGCTGCTAACGCATGCTCTCCCCAGTGCTTCGCAGCATAGTCTAGGAATTGGTTTTCTCGGAGCCTCTCTTCAAATTCTTCGTCAGAGGAGCAGCTCCCCGTCTTGAATATGCTGAATGATAGGTACGTAAGACATGTCGAGGTCACATGTAGTTGAGCACCTGGATTCCATGCATCTCGGATACGTTCGAAGTATTCTTGGATAGTGTAATGCACGAGACGGATAACAGCGGTTTCCGGATCAACAACGACAAGGCCAGCACACACAGATAGCAGGTCCTCGACGTCTGGAATACCTTCTGGATCGAGTTCTGTTTCATCACGCTCCACCGCTAGGGCACAGCACAACTCCGCCGTGAGGAGCGGCCGTTTTGCGTGCGTGATCCACGACAATACTTTCTTAGCCAGCTTCTTATTTCCGTCTAGTTGACCATTTGTGCGTTGAATGGCCTCGTCGTAGGCGTCGTCAATCGTAGCTGAGCCCTTCAAGAAGCGGCCTAATGTCGACTTCACTTCTCTTACTGTTTGCTTGTCCAAGAGTGAGTCTGTGTGTAGGCGGGCAAGAAGAAACCTAGATTCCCGCAAGTCAGCGCTATCTAACAGATGTAAGTAGATCACATACATGCCATCTACCGCCTTTACGAGTTCGTCTTGCACCATGACCTGCAGCGCAGGTTTACGCCGAATACACGAGGGCAGTCGGTGCATCTGGCTAGTTACATAACATCTCACGTCATCATCGCTGGCTCGTATTTCTAGTTTCATCGCCGCTTGAAACTCAGCTTCAATCTCTGGTATGAACCGCGCAGTGGCCATGATGCGAACATCTTGTCCTTTTTGTAAGCCTCTGAGTTTAGTCAGAAGCTGACTACGAGTGCCATCAATATCTCGACATTCGTCCAGAGCATCGATGACAAGATAGACTGTGGAATACTTCGCAATGACTTTTTGAAGGGCGCTGAATATCTCCTCGATTGTCGGCTTTGTGCCAAGGTCGTGATGCTTCTTATGCAGTCGTTCTACAGGCTCTGCCGCTGGTGGTTGACGTTGCACCAGCTGTTTGGCGATGGCTGCCAACATCCTCGAAGTATCCTGCTCCTCCCGATCCTTGTAGTTGCAGTACACGTATGCAACTCCTATCGAGCTGCTCTGCGTAGAGTGCAACAGGTGATCGATCGCGATCGCAGCCACCATCGTCTTGCCCGCGCCAGGAATCCCTGGGCAGAATAGCGTGCCCTTGGGCTCACCGAGCCACCTTGCGAACTCGGGCGCTCCCAGAAACCACTTACCTGTCCCCTCCTGTCTGCGAGCTATGATGTCTGATTGCTGGGCTGGGTAGTTCGTAGGCGAGATCCATTCCACTATCTTCCTGCGCTTTTCATCGGCTTGATCTTGCCGAATCTGGTCAACCCCAGACTTTGTTGCTGATACGCATGTTCGAATGAAGTCGGTATCGTCTTTAATAGCTTGGGATAGTTTGCTCCTAAATGTAAGCCGCGTAAATCATGGTGCTGCTGTGAAGGCTTACAAGTGGTCCACCTGTAATGCGATCCCCACCAGATTTTTCAACCGCTCTATTTGATCTATTATTATTATTATTATTATTGTTTAACGTCCTGTGTCAGCCCGAAGGCTATATAAGACGTGCAAGCTGATAA